TCTGCCCGTTTCTGCCCGTTCCTGTAAATCGTCGCCTGTTCCTGCCCGATCCATATCAATACAATACTCTTAATTTGTTGCAATCCTTTTAACAAATATACCTTATACTCGATAACGATACTTAAATATATCTAATATCTATATCTTATACCCGAAAAAAGTATAATACCGTAAATTCATAAGTAATAAGGACATAATTCTATATGATTAAGTCCGATTCTGCACCGATCATGTAACTGCAGTCATTTTATCAATTATATCTTATACCCGATACTGTTAATTAAATATATATAATATATATATAATTAATATATTTAATAATCAATAATTTTCTGTCCGTTCCTGCCCGTTTCTGCCCGTTCCTGCCCGTTTCTGCCCGTTCCTGCCCGTTCCTGTAAATCGTCGAACCCCCAACAGGTCTGTTTACATAAACAGAGATCCTATATATCATGGTGTGTTACCACTACCATCAGAGAACCATCCAGGTTACCTTTAATGAGTATTTGATTAACTCATACAGGGTAGATTACTCAGTGAACAGTTTGTTAAAATTGATGGTTGGTTTTTCAGTGACCTTGCCGAGGCTGTTATCACGGAGCTGTATGAGGGTGGAGGGTACTGTCTGGACTACATGCCTGAGGGGAAAAATGAACTGGAGACTTTGTGTTTTGAAGAAAATACGATTGGAATTCGTAACTCTGACTGGCAAGATGATGCTAAAGTTCTGTTGCTTAAACTTGATTGTGAGTGGTCAACATTCTACTGTTCAAACATGAAATTTATCTTATTGTGGAATGTTTTTAACAAGTTGTACTTTGTATATTTGTGTTGATTTGAAGATATACATCTCTGTTGTTTATTTTCAAATGGTAATCTGATTTTATTTAGGTGACATTACATATCAATGATAGGTATTGAAAATCTGAATCTGTGAAATAGCTGATCATGTTTCTTATTTACAGCTGACAGAGTTCACCTCAACAAAACCTTCATCCCAGCACCTCCATTTTTGTCAACATCGGTAAGACATCTGATTTTTGTCATTGCAATATAATACAATGCAATTTACTCTAGATCTGTGTAATGACCTTAACCTTTATATGATGACTTTGACCTTTCCATTTATGTATGTTTATCTTGACCTTTTCATGAATGGTGACCTTGTTTATATAATTATGTTAACATTATATAACAATCTGTGTACCAGGTATGTATTTCACTTTGATTCAACTATTTATGTTGACCTTGAATAATGTACTTAAAAGTAAAAGTGTCTTTATGATGACATTTGACTTCTGTATAGATGATGATCTCAATCTTTATATATGTGTGTCGACTTTACAGGTATATACAGGATGACAGACCTTAATTGACCATAAATGTAACATACATGTATATTATAAAATCAACCAGTATATACACAGTTATATATCGCATGCATGATGACCCTTAGAAATACATGTAAATATAAAATGTATATATAATGACCTTGACATAATGTATACATAATGACCTTCACATAATGTATATATGTATTATGACCTTGACATAATGTATATATAATGACCTTGACATAATGTATATATATGACCTTGACATAATGTATATATGTATTATGACCTTGACATAATGTATTATGACCTTAACATGATGTATATATGTATTATGACCTTAACATAATGTATACATGTATTAGGACCTTGACATAATGTATTATGACCTTAACATGATGAATATATGTATTATGACCTTAACATAATGTATATATGTATCATGACCTTGACATGATGTATATATGTATTATGACCTTAACATAATGTATATATGTATTATGACCTTGACATAATGTATATATGTATTATGACCTTGACATGTATATATAATGACCTTGACATAATATATATAAAATGACATTGACATAATGTATGTATGTATTATGACCTTTACATAATGTATATATATTGCCTTGACGAAATGTATTATATGTTTAATGACCTTGACATAATGTATGTTTGTATTATGACCTTGACATAATGTATATATATTGACCTTGACATAATGTATATATAATGACCTTGACATAATGTATATATATGACCTTGACATAATGTATATATAATAAACCTAGACATAATGTATTATGACCTTAACATAATCTATATATAATAACCTTGACATAATATATATATAATGACTTTGACATAATGTATAAATAATGACCTTGACATAATGTATATATAATGACCTTGACATAATGTATATATATGACCTTGACATAATGTATATATGTATTATGACTTTGACATAATGTATAATATAATGACCTTGACATAATGTATATATAATATCCTTGACATAATGTATATATGTATTATGTCCCTTAACCTAATGTATATATATAATAACCTTGACATAATATATATATGTATTATTACCTTGACATAATGTATATATAATGACTTTGACATAATGTATAAATAATGACCTTGACATAATGTATATAAAATGACCTTGACATAATGTGTATATATGACCTTGACACAATGTATATATGTATTATGACCTTGACATAATGTATAATAGAATGACCTTGACATAATGTATATATAATATCCTTGACATTTATGGCTATAACAGCAGCATATTGACATAATGTATATGTAATGACCTTGACATAATGTTTATATAATGACATTGACATAATGTATATAATGACATTGACATTATATGTATTATGACCTTGACATAATGTATAATAGAATGACCTTGACATAATGTATATATAATATCCTTGACATAATGTATATATGTATTATGACCTTGACGTATGCCCATTTTTTCTATGCACAATGTCCATGGTAGTGTATATTTATTTTAACAGGGAAGTGCCAAGGCGTTGTTGTCCCTGGATCCTGACTGGTCCATCAATACTCTACTCAAGTTCAGTAGCTGTAGTCAGGTTCTCACCCGTGTCACAGGTAAAATCTCTACTCAAGTTCAGTAGCTGTAGTCAGGTTCTCACCCGTGTCACAGGTAAAATGATTCAAAAACAGTATCACAAGTTAATAGTTGTTTATTTGTTTTTGCTAAATTCTATATCTTGTTCAAATTATGGGTAAATAATTGTTGATATATTGTATCAACTATCTGCTTCATATGAGTTTGTGTTGTGTATTACAGTTCAGGAACAGTTACTTACCTTCCAGTCACGCACCCTGGAAGACTGGCTCGAGGGTTATGGCTATAACAGCAGCATAGACTCGACATTTGTCTACTTACCTCGACAACTCGATGCTGGAAATCTTATGTTTCCACATTATGACTCCATATTTGATGATGTCGCTGTGCACAGGCTCTGCTTCTCAGCAGGTACGTTTGTGGTAATTATCGTTACATGACTCTGAACAGGTAGGTAATTGATAATAAGTGATGATATATAGGTTCCCCATGGAGGAACATTCTAGGAGAGAGGTTCTCTAGTGCATAATGGGATAGAGGTTTCCAGTAAAATATGGGATGGAGGTCCCAAGTGAGCGATTGGATCTCTATCCAATCGCTCACTGGGGACCTCCACCTCTGAGTGAATGATGGGATGGAGGTCCCCAGTGACTTATGGGATGGAGGTCCCCAGTGACTTAAGGGATGGAGGTCCCCAGTGACTGACTTATGGGATGGAGGTCCCCAGTGACTTATGGGATAGAGGTTTCCAGTGACTTATGGGATGGAGGTCCCCAGTGACTTATGGGATGGAGGTTTCCCAACTATTGATGGTAGATATTAATATTAATCTTTAATCAAGGTTGTTCTTCACCAGTTCCCAAGTACATATATGGATGGTGGAGTGTCAACTGCAAAAAATAGGTATAACTGTGACCTTTGGTTTGACCTTTGACCTCATCCTTTGAACAAGTTTGGAGCATATCTTCTATACTCTTTCACTTGGAGTAACTAGATTTAATTAGTATGCAAGCACATCTTGAGATCAATTCTTTTACCTTTGACCTCAACCATTGGGAAACATTTGTCCAGGGCATATCTTCTATACTATTTCACCTAGAGTAACCAGATTTGGTGTGCAGGTTTGTCTTTGGTGGATTTTGGAGTACAAGAAGTATGTCACTGTGACCTTTACCCTGAGATAAATGAGCAGCTTGGTAAATAAAGAAATCATCACCAGTGGGGTATGGTGGATTGCATTGCCTTACAATATAATGCCTTGTATTCAAAAGAATTTAGGATCCTTGCACCTCTGTCAAAAACTGTAACCACACAGTAGAAATGATTTTTTCCAGCATGATTAAAGCTTTGAAAAATCATTTCTGAAAAGAATGCTATACCTTGTGGGACTTTCATGAAAAATAATAGAGATGGAATAAGCTAAATAGCTGTTGTTTGAGTGAACAAAGCTAGACTGGTATCCAAACCCTGGACAGGATAGAATAAGCTAAATAGCTGTTGTTTGAGTGAACAGAGCAAGACTGGTATCCAAACCCTGGACTGGATAGAATAAGCTAAATAGCTGGTGTTTGAGAGAACAAAGCTAGACTGGTATCCAAACCCTGAACTGGATAGAATAAGCTAAATAGCTGTTGTTTGAGTGAACAAAGCTAGACTGGTATCCACACCCTGGACTGGATAGAATAAGCTAAACAGCTGTTGTTTGAGTGAACAAAGCTAGACTGGTATCCAAACCCTGGACTGGATAGAATAAGCTAAATAGCCGGAACGTTGTCTGAGTGAACAAAGCTAGACTGGTATCCAAACCCTGGACTGGATAGAATAAGCTAAATAGCTGTTGTTTGAGTGAACAAAGCTAGACTGGTATCCAAACCCTGGACAGGATAGAATAAGCTAAATAGCTGTTGTTTGAGTGAACAGAGCAAGACTGGTATCCAAACCCTGGACTGGATAGAATAAGCTAAATAGCTGGTGTTTGAGTGAACAAAGCTAGACTGGTATCCAAACCCTGGACAGGATAGAATAAGCTAAATAGCTGTTGTTTGAGTGAACAGAGCTAGACTGGTATCCAAACCCTGGACTGGATAGAATAAGCTAAATAGCTGTTGTTTGAGTGAAGAAAGCTAGACTGGTATTCAAACCCTGGACTGGATAGAATAAGCTAAATAGCTGGTGTTTGATTGAACAAAGCTAGACTGGTATCCAAACCCTTGACTAGATAGAATAAGCTAAATAGCTGTTGTTTGAGTGAACAAAGCTAGACTTGTATCCAAACCCTGGACTGGATAGAATAAGCTAAATAGCTGTTGTTTTAGTGAACAAAGCTAGACTGGTATCCAAACCCTGGACTGGATAGAATAAGCTGAATAGCTGGTGTTTCAGTGAACAAAGCTAGACTGGTATCCAAACCCTGGACTGGATAGAATAAGCTAAATAGCTGTTGTCTGAGTGAACAAAGCTAGACTGGTATCCAAACCCTGGACTACAGCTTTGTACTGTTGCTCTAAACAAACAAAAGCTGCCTGATTAATGAAAGTGTTTTCTGACACAACTTTGCTAAAGTTAACTCCAACATGAAATTATTGAGGGTCACTGTATGAAAGCCACTGGGCAGTGGGACATATAGAGCCTTAAGGTGGCTCGACACATCGTCATCAGCGTCCATTTTCGTGACATACTTCCGGAAAAAGTACAGCTAGGACTCAATTATCTTAATCGAATGTGCATGTACACCGTGTCGTCATTTCCGTATTGCGTATCGGGCATTCAATATCGTAGTGCAAATTATAGTAACACCTGCTGGGCCGTTTTCGTTTAAACGGTCAAACCGATCGGACCACTGTTGTTCGTTTATTAAATAAGGTCGGACCTAGTAATCTGATGCTGCTTTCAGGCGAGTCTTGAGAAAGCCT